ACAGAGAAGGTGATATGGAACTCATTTTTTTTTCTTCCTCTGGCCTTTATCTGTTCTATTCTGTGTTATGAAACTATACTGCAATTCTGACAGGTCATCCTTGACAATGCCAAATGGCAGTTTGTCTGGAAGAATTAAATATAAGGCAAAAACCAGGTGGTTAATGCAAAAGAAATCCAGACAAATAGAAGGCATAAATCTTTCTATCCTCCATGCTTCCTCTCCTCTGTTTATTGTCCTGATATCAAATTAACTGCTGGAGCTTGAAAGCCTATAATTCTTGGGATATCTTGCAGATTATTTAACTCAATAGTTGTATGATGGAATATATTCTCTGTCTCTGAGGGAAGGAGGCAAGAAGTAAGGCAGGAGGGAGGTTAGAAGAAAGAAGGGAGAGAAAGAGAGAGATAGAGAAGAGCAAAAGGGAGCTACTTCTTTCAGATAATTACATTTTTTTAGAGGACTATTAACCACAGGGGACTTCCAAAGATGAAGGGGCTCAAAGATTAGCATTAGATTCATGCTTACAAATCCAGGTCAGAAACTACTGTGGGTCTATCCTAACTCCAAATATAGTACTCTACAGGTACCATGTCTTTGGAGCTATGTGATTATCTATCTTGAATGGAATGCTTGGTGCTTGAAAACGTAGACAAGTTATTTGAACACCATAGGATGCAGTTTCCAAGTATATGACGAGATTATATTTGTAGTTCATTAGAACTTTGAGAACTACTACTCTGGTGACTACTAGAGCAAATGGCATATTTCCAAAAATTCACATTCATTTTTGGTTTTGTTTTTTAATTGCCAGAGAGTATGTGTACTTGGCAAAGACAGAGAGACAGAGAGAGAGGAAGAAAGCATGCCTCAATGGGGTGTAGCCACCCCTCAATCCCTTTTCCTCCATTTCTCCATCCTGTCAGGATTTGGAACACAGCATGCATATGTGTTCAGCATGTTTTTTAAGCTACCATGGGCTGGAATTGGAACCATGGTCTGCCAGGTGGGATCCAACTCCCTTAATCATTAGGCTATGGAGTCAGCCCACACACATTTGTTTTAGCAGCATAAGAAAAATGTGCATCATTTTTATATTACTGGCAAAAGTATGTCTATGTAATTTCAACTCTGTGTCTTAGTCTGTCATGTTACTGTAACAGACATACCTGAGTCTGCATAATATGTAAAGAACCTAGGTTTATAGTTCACAGTTTTGGGGGTCCAAAGTCAAGAGACTACAGATTATGAAGTTTTAATTTGGAGGGAAATTCTCTGCAGAATCCCGAGGTGGCATAGGGCACCACATGGTGGGTGGCCAAGAGCTTGTGTCTGTCTAGGCATCAGCTCTTGTTTCTCTCTCTCTTTTTTTTTTATAAAGTCACCAGGATTCAATGATGGTGACTTTTTCTAATGACTTTATCTAATCATAATCCTTTCCCAAAAGCCACGCTTCTTAAAGTATAGTCATATTAAGTTTCCACCCTCTCAATACCAGTATAATAGTTAAGATTCCAACATCTGAACTTTTGTGGGACACATGCAAACCATAGCAAATAGTATATGATAAATACTGATATCATCAAATTGATCTGGGATTTTCAATGAGCCCTCACAAGCGGGAACTGCAAATGAGATACTTTATAAAATCCCCCTTTGTATAGTGGAACAACTTGAGAAATTGTAACTTGAAAAATATGTAGTTAGTTATTTATAGACCACCTTTTGGCTGAGATTTGAGATGACATTTTTCTTTCAATAAAACTCTCAAGTGGCATACCATGATTTATCTTTTTTTTTGGCTATTGTCTGTATATAGTGCAGAAAATAGAAAAAATTATTCAAATCCTGCCAAGTGTATTTATAGTTATTTTTCTGCTACTCAAATTCCCTCCTTCAAGACATTTTAAAGTTTTCGTATAGAATTAAGATTGAGTTTTTTAGAGAAGGAAAAAGGGAACAAAAAAGAACAAGAAAGTTTTTGTCTTTACCCAGAAAAGCCTAAAGTGGCCCTTAGATCCTTATAGTAGACCAAAGGACTGGAGTGACAACAAATACCTACCTATAACTTGACCTTCTCAGTCTCCACAGGTGTTTTGTACCTATGTCTATCTGGTCCAAAAGAATCAGGAACAATCTTTTTAAGTATCTGAGAGGATATCAGAGCCAGATTATTTCCAGAGGGGGGGAAAGGTAGTTTTCTTCTCAGTTCTTAGCTCATTAGGCTGTCCTTTTTTCAGTTGATCTGAATGTTAGCGTTGGAGTTAGAAATGACATGTATCCTTGGGGTCAGATGGTGGCACAGTGGTAAAAAGTAATGCTTTGTGATGCTTACCAACATAGAAAGGTTCTGAGTTCGCATCCAGAGGTCTTTCCTTGAGAGACCTTCTGAGAGACCTTCCCGCAGAACGTCTGCACATGTATGCCCATGATCTGGGGCTTGCGTAAGCTGGGGTCAGATTGTGGCATTGGGATCTTGTTGGGGGTATGATCTCTCTTTTTTCTTTTTCTCTTTCTGGTTCATAGAGAAAATACATAAATAAACTTAAAAAAAAAAAGTCCTATAGCATGTCAAATGATTCAAGATAAAAGTCACAGCCCGCAGAAAAGAAGAGACAGTAAGGAAGTTTACAACTCTCCTTAGAACTGTTCTTCTCATTCAAGCTTAGATCCTGATTTCAAAATAACTAAGATTTGCCCATTCTAAAATGTTATTTGCAGCACCTTCTAGTCTCCTGCCTCCCTCATGGCCACCCTTGGGCTCCTTTTTGTTTATTTATGTCTGTATTCAACAGGGATCCACTCTGAACCCTGATATACCCACATGTTCCCTGACATACTCCCATTGGACATGGCCTACTTCGGGTGTTGCATCTCAGCCTCTGACAAACAGTTCTTTCTTTAATCCTCATTGGCCCTTGGGACTAGCAGTTAGCGTAATGGCTGTCGCTGGACTCCCAGGTAGTCGACTGTGGTTCACGTCCTGGCCCCTGTGGGTTAAAACTCAGGCTGGGGGCGGATGGGTGGAGAAGAATGGAGGAGAAGGAATTACGGTGTGGCCATCCCCCCCGGGGATGATTTCTCGCTCTCTATCTCTCTGTCTTTCTTTCTCTGTTTGGCGAGCACATGCACCCTATAGTGAAAACCTCTCCAAAAAAACAAACAAACAAACAAACAAACAAAAAAACCCTCATTGTCCTTTGCAGGATTTACTTTATACATTTCTATTCAGATTGCCAATGTGCCCTGTTAGAACTCCACATGCTTATGTTTTTTCAGATTGTAAACTTGAGGGTAGTGTCATTGGTGTTGGCCCTTATATTTATTTCACAATATCTATACATAATAGGAATTCCATAATTTTAAAAATTGAATTACTTGGATGTAGTGTTTTTTAAATATATAATGAATAATGTTCCAGTACATGTTAGTGACAGGGAAAACACTAAGTAAAATGAAGGTTAAGGTGAGAAGAAACAATGCAAGTAGAAATTTCAGAGATTATCAATGTTGATTTGCTCGAACAGTTACACGTTATTGTTCTCAAACTAAATTTCCAGTAATAAGTCATGTCTTTCCTGGGAGAGGAGGAAGGAAAAAAAAGTAAGATTGAGAGAAGGGATCAAATATTATACTTGGTGATTTCTGGAGGAGTAAGGGAGGTAAAAAAATCTTTACCAATGAAAATATTTGAGCTCAAGTTATTTTATATGTCAATGCAAAAAAGATAGAATTAATAATATTCTTCATTTAGTAGGATTTGTTCTGAACTTCCCAAGTACTCCAGAACCCATAGTGTTTACTTTTTTAAAAAAATATTTAATTGATAAATACAAATTTGATGTATTCAAGGCATATAACACGATTATTGCATATTGATATATGTAGTATTGTGTACTGATTACCACTGGTCATATTAATTAATGTGTCCATCACCATCTATAGTTACCATGACTGGTCATATTAATTAATGTGTCCATCACCACCTATAGTTACCATTTTGTGTGTGTGTGGTAAGAACATTTAAAATTTGCTTTCTTATTAAATTTCAGGTGAACAATACAGTATTATTAACTATAGTTGCCAAATTATACATCTGATCCCTAGAACTTATTCATCTTATGCCTGGAAGTTTATATCTCTTACCAGCATCTTGCTATTTTTCCCACCCCCTGGTCCTTGGCAATCACTGTTCTACTTACTGTTTCTATGAGTTCAACATTTTTAGAATCCCCACATAAGTGAAATTATGCAATATTTGTCTTTCTGTGTCTGACTTATTTCACTTATCATTATCATCTTTCAGGTTCATGCATTCTTTCATAAATGTCTGGACTTCCTTTTTTTCTTTTCTTTTTTTTTAAATTTTGCTGTAGGGTGCATGTGCTTGCTGGAGAGAGAAAGAGAGAGAGGGAGAGAAGGAAAATGAGAAAGCACTCCTCAGGGAGGATGACCATGCTGCAGTCCATTCTCCTCCTTTCTTCTCTTGGGATTTTCAACATAGTCCATTCTCCTCCTTTCTTCTCTTGGGATTGTCAACACGTATGCACATACACCAGTGCATTTTTCAGGCTGCTGAGTCCGGGACTTGAACCATGCAGTTAGCCATATATAGTCAAGTAACCTCAACCACCATGCTACTGGTTGGCCTGTTTTATTCTTTTAAAACCTGAATAGCATCTCTCTCTCTCTGTCTCTCTCTTTCTCTCTGTATGCCACATTTTTTTCTATCCATTCACCTGTTGAAGGGCACTTAGATTGCGACTGTATCCTGGCCATTATCAATAATACTGCAGTGAACATGAGGGCGCAGATCCCTTCTCAACATGCTGATTTCATTTGCTTTGCAGAGAAGCGAGATTACTGGATCATGTGGAGGTTCTGTTTTTAGTTGTTTTAGGAACCATCAAACTACATTTCATAATGGCTCTACCAATTTCCATTCCCACCAACAGTTGTACTTGGTAGTTTAAGCAGGCATTACCGTTCTTGTTTTCCAGATGGGGAAGTCACTTGCTCAGCCCATCACAGTCAGTATTGACTGGAACCGGAATCTGGACCCAGGGAAGTGAGATGCCAAAGGCCTGGCTCTTCCATCCCACTGCTCTGTCTTCCTAAGTAATGGTGACTTCAAAATGTTAAAAATAAAAAAATGTGGGACAGCCCTATTGCTCAGTAGTTAAGTGTTCTGAAAATGGAGCCAGATCCAATATGGCTGACCACAGTCTGATCCCCAGCCTTGGAGGCTTGAAATCCATGCCAGAGCCTGTATGCACATGCCAGGATCCTGACTGGATGCAAAAGTAGAGGGGAAAAATTGTGACATGACCAGGTCCCATGGGGGATGAAGGGGAGGGTTTTTTCATGCTACCTCCTCTTCTCTCTCTCTCCCTTGCATGTGCCCTCTGGCACTTGGAAAAAAAAAAAAAAAGAAGAAGAGAGAAATGTGCAAACCCACTACTATGAAAGAGAGCCCAGATTTCTTTTATAAATTTGCTTTCATATGCTAGAGGCCAACAATACACTATGAATACTAAAAGGGTGAGATTTGTCATTTCTAATCAACTTATTCTCACCCTAAGGTCTTTCTCCTTTTCTATATCCCAAATTATCTTCCATCCAATAGCGTCATTCTTATCCTCTCGTTTCTTCAGTGACTTTGCTCAAATGTCACCTTGTCAGAATGACTTGTCCTAACCACCCTTTGTAAGTTAGCAACATCATCCCCACCCACCAACCTCTGTCTCTCACCATGCTGTGAGAGATTTTCTTCAGAGCATTTATCCCACCTCACCACATGGCACCTGTCTTTCATCACTGAAATGTAAGCAAGCTCCATGAGGGTAGACACCCTTCTCTGGTTTGTTCACTGATTTGTTCTGGTCTCGTTGCATCTCAGTAAATGCCACTACCAGCTCTACCAGACGCCTTAGCCGGAAATCTCAGGGCGAGCATCTCTGCCTCTCTTTGTTACATCCAATCAACAACTCTTACTGCATTTTTTCCCCTATTTTTCTTTTCTTGCTTTCTTGGCCAATGTCCTAGGTAAAAATCTGGATCACTGCAGTAACTTCTAATTCAACTTCTCCCATAACAATATGGATTGAATTGTGTGCCTTTCAGAAATATTGAAGTCCTAACCCCATTACCTGCAAATGTGAACTTCTTCAATTTCTTTGAAGATGACCAGCACCTAGAGCAGTGCCTGGTACCCTGAGACTCCCAGCATGTATGTATAGACTGTACAAACCCAGACAAGACCCTTCTGTAGCTCATTTAGCTGATTTAACATTCATGCTACAGACAGTGCTTCAGTCACTGGGAAATTCGGAGCCCCCTCCACTTTACATTTTGACAGGCTAGAAGGTTCTTGCCTCTGCTCACTCTACAACTTGTTAAACCACTTCCTGTACGTCCTCTCTTGTTTTTGCCACAGGAAACTTTTATCACAAGTCATCCACATAAACCTAGAGGTGTTACAAAATTTCTTGCAGCAAATCATGTGTGTCACTGGGGGCTCCCCAGTGTCTTTATCTTACCGTATACAATTCAGCACACAATTTAGAGACTCTAAAAAGAGGTGTTTTATTACCATTTCCTTCCATTGCATACCTTTACCACTCTGATGTCTTTATGTGGGCAATTGCTAAGGGACTTTTAAGTTACATGGTGATGAAATAATAAGAAAAATAGACCCTCTCTCATTGCTTGCAACACACTCAGTCCTAGTCCTATAGACCAGGTCTGTATCTGAAGGCACCTGAGCACTTCACACTCCAAGCCAGGAGCTGTAGCAGCCTCCACAGAGAACAGCACAGAAGTGTCTGTGAAAGCCCAAGAACACTGAAAAGGAAATATCAGAAATAATGAAGGAGGCTGAAAGCATAGGAAATAAAACCTAAAAAATAAAGCTTGAATCGTTTAAAATAAACCTGATAGACCCGTGCCACATCTTTTCCTTTTGGAGGCTTGCTTACTTCTTTTTTTTTCTCTCTCTTTCTCTCTCCTTTCATTCTTCCTTTCATTCTTCCTTCCTTCCTTCCTTCCTTCCCTTTTTTCTATTTACCCCCATTCACATATTTCACTACAGCATCTGCTTTAGCCAGAAACCTGAGTGTCTCTGCCTTCCTCCATTACATCCAGTTACCAAATTTTGTGGGATTTTTCTTTTGTTTTGTTTTTGAGATTTTGCTATAGAGTGAATGGGCTCACCAGAGAGAGAGAGGGAAACTCAGAAATCATTCACCAGGTGATGGCCATGCTGCAATCGTTCTTTATTCTTCTTGGGATTTGGGGCACACACACAAACACACACACACACACATGCTTGGCATGATTTTTAAGCCACTGGGTCCAGGACTTGAACTGCATAGTTGGATCTAGCACCTTAACCTCCATGTCACTTGCTAGCCCTCTTATTGTGTGTGTGTGTGTGTGTGTATTTAGAGAGATTTTTACTACAGGGTGAGTCCACTTGCCAGAGAGACACAGAGAGACAAAGAGACAGAAAGCAAGAAATCAACCCATAAGGGTTGATGGCCACACCACAATCCCTTCTTCTTCATTCTCCTCTCGGGATTTTGAGCGTGCACTTACGTACACCTAGCATAAGTTTCAAGCCACTGGGTCTGGGACTGGATCTGCAGTCGGCCATGTGGAAGTTCAACAACATAACCATTACACCATCTGGTGTTTGGGTTTTGTAAATTCTTTTTTTTTTTTTTTTTTTTTTTTGCCTACTTGGTCAGTACTATGAATAAAACCTGGACTACTGTGATCCCCTCTAATTTGGTCTTCTCCCTTAGCAATTGTGACTCCCAATAGGTGCCGAGGTCCTAAGCCCTAGTACCTACAAATAGCCCTTTTAGAAATGGAATCTTTGCAAATGAGATCCTTCGGGTGGGCCCTAATGTAATATGATAGGTGCCCTTATGAAAAAGGGAAATTTAGACCCATAAACAGCACATGTGCAGGGAGAAGTCCATGTGAATATAAAGGACCTATCAAGGGGATGCCTCTATAAGCCAGGGAACATGAGAATTGCCAGCAAAACACCTGAAGGTAGTCAAGGCATGAGCAGGTCCCACCTTACAGCCTCAGGAGGAAGCCGCCCTGCTGACACCTCCATCGTGGACCTCCAGTCTCCAGAACTGTGAGACAACAGACCTCTATTATTTAAGCCACCACTTGGTGGTACTTTGTAATGAAAGCCTTAGGAAACTAAATTACTTCTTTTCTATCATCTCAGTTCCCTTCTTAAAAATTTAAATTTACACAAATATACATTTTCCTTCTAAAAACTAGAACAGCTAAGTATAATACCTAGCATTTATTGAATAGTTATTTTTATGCATCAGGCAGTAAGTGCCTCATGTGTCATTTTACTTAGTTCTTACATCAACCCTATTACTGCCATCCTTTTACAGATGAGGAAACGAAAGCATGAGAAATTGAGTAACTTGGGACCAGCAGTTAGCGTAATGGCTATGTCGCTGAACTCCCATGTAGTTGACCACGGTTTGAGTCCCGGACCTGGTGGCTTAAACTCACGCTGGGTGCGTGTGCATGCGTGCCCAAGATCCCGAGAGGAGAATGGAGGAGAAGGGATTGTAGTGTGGCCATCCCACCTGGGGAGTGATTTCTCGCTTTCTATCTCTCTGTCTCTTTCTGTCTTTCTGGTAAGCGCATGTGCCCTATAGCAAAAACCTCTCAAAAAAAAAAAATTGAATAACTTGCCTGTGTCTACACAGCTATGATGATGTAGGATGGGATTCAAAACCAGTGTGGTTCCAGGGTTAAGATATCAAATATGATGACATAGCCTGCTTTGAGTAAGTGTTCCCAAGCATGGTCTCCTCCCCAGACTGCTAGAAGTAACCGCTGCTGGCTCTGTTATACATGTGTATAAATGTGCTGCATTTACATGCCTGTAGGTACACATTGCATGAGTATATGTGTCTCTATAAGAAGCATACAGTCTTAAAAATTCCCAAAAGAATCATATATATCTTTCTGGAACTTGCTTTATTTCACTTACTTAATTTATCTTAAATATTTATACGTTTTAACAAATATGTATAAACCTTCTGATTAGTAGTCCACTACATGAAGTTGAGATGTGTATGTTTAAAAAGTATATTTGGGGTGATTAAATCCGTCTGCTAAGATGGAGGCAACAGCTTCCCATATCCTTCAAATGTCTTCTAAAGAGCGTCTGGGGCAGGGAGACACACGTCAAGGTGAGTGAGATGGGGTGTTGGGGTGTGGAGGGTGTGGAGGGTAGGAAATGGATGGGAGGTGACATCTCAGACCCGGTGTGCATGGCTACTAGTTCCTTCAGTATCTGTCTGTTGAAAAGATACTGAGACAAAGAATAGTGGCCTAAAAATACCATTTTTGGGGGTCCACATTCAAGTGGGTTTTACTGGTTGAGTCAACTTCTCTGAGCTCTGTTTATCACTTTTATTTTAAAACTAGAGATAATAATTCTTGTCCTGCCTTGATGTAGGATTTCTGGGAGGAAAAAAAAATCAAATGAAACACAAAAATATAGCCTGAAAACACAATTATGGTTTGATTATTATTACTTTCACATTTCCTAGGTACTAGATATTGGAAATGTTTTGTGGAGTCTTTGGAATTCAAAACTATCTCGCATGAGATAGTTTTTATTTTCTTTATGGGATCATTATGAGGAGTAGATGAGGTCACACGTGAGCAAATCGTCACACAGTGCCTGGAACATGGCAAGCACTGGTGGGATCTAAGTGACCATCTTTGTTTCTTTGCTGTGTGTGAGTGCTTTTACCACCTAACTTCTCGTTGAAAGTTCTAGGATCAACTATCTCATCATATAAATTCTGTAATGAATCAAACTTTTCAAGTCCTCTAACAAAGAGAGCATTAAATCATTATTTAATTTAAAAACCTACGGTCTACTGAATTCTTTATTGATTTTACAAAGAAGATTATTTGGCTGACTGCATGTGTGTATATGTGTACACACAAGTGTGTGTGTGTTCATGCACGTATGTGCTTCTTCCTCTCAAAATCATCAAAGTAGTCTGCACTGGAAGGCACATACTTTGTATTTCAGTCCTTCAGGTAACCTAGTCTGAGCTCCAACAGAAACTGTTTTATCCTTTTACCCATTTA